TCAACTTATAGGTCCATAAAGTGAGCTAATGATACACTTATCTCTGTACTCCAAAAATGGCACAGGCTGATCTATTTAATGGAAATATTATCTCCAGGAAACTTTGATGGCTTAAAAATAAGAAATTTCAAAACTACTAGGATGTCCTCAATTATGGATCTATATAGTTGGTACCCCTTGTTACTCTCTAGCATCTAGCCTATAGTAGGAAAAATCTAGTTCTGACACAGCCAATCTAATTATAAGAGACTGGTGGAGGAAATTTTTGACTACAGCTCTGGTGGTAAAATCTCAAAGGAGTATTAACAGAATAGTAACCATATAAGCCAGTTTTAGGAAACTCCGCATACTTGAATATTAACTTGGAGACTTAGTATTCTTATACAACACCAACCTGGAGGATGAGTTCATTAATTTGATGTATAGTGGTCTGGACCCCATTGAGTGATATACTGTTATGGCTCTGTATAACCATCACTTCCTTTAAAACTAATATTGTTGTCAATAGAGCCCTTAAAAGTTTCTGCAAAATTACGTATTCCCTTGGTAAGATCTTGTGGGGGGTGTTGATGAAAAGAATAATTTGATTTAGTTCAAATCTAAAAAACCCCTGAAGAGTTGGCCATTGACCAACAGAAACTAATGCTCAATAATTCATTTGATTGGACCTTACTATCAAATTATAAAAATTGTCAATGAATCAAAGCTCCCTCATAAGGTACAAGTACAATACCTTTATGAACTAAGGAAAATGCTTTCTTTTGAATTGGTAAAAAAATTTCAAGCAAAGGGGCAGATATCCTGAAAAAGGCGTGTCCCTTCAAACACTATATATGTCCCCTCCTTAATCAGATATAGCACATTCACCTTTATCTTGTATGGTTTAGATTTCTGCAAAAGTGCATTTTTCTAGTGATGAATGTTCATACAAGGAAGCCCACGGATGATAATATGACTAATAATCACTTAACATTTGAAGAGACTGTCCAAAAAAATCCAGAACACTAAAAAGTGTTCTTTGTTTAGAATATCATGCTATAACCTTTTTTTAACTAAATTACCTTGAAATTTTGATGATGTGTGCTATAATATATATAGGCAATGTTAAAAGTGGCATAGTGGCGTCAGAAATATAAGAAAGTCATAGGTTTAGGTACATTAAAACTATTTTCTCTGTGTGAATACAATAACATTTTATATTATAATGTTTAAAAAGAAAAAACAGTCTGTTATAGATATTCTGTAAATACCGTTATTATAGTTATACTGCCATTTCTGAAAATGGCGTATTGTAATAATATTTTACTGTTTCCTGTAATAGTAGTGATACTGCCATGCATGTTATAATGTAAGTATCTGCCATGTCATCAAGGCCGGTCAAACTTTTCAGTTCTTAATAGATTTGTAAGGCCACTCACAGGATTTACTCACCTGGCTATATACTACATCAGTCTTAGAAAAGACTTTATGTTTGTGATGGGCTTTTCACTTAATTGTAACATTCTTAATTTTAAACTATTATTGTAAAGTGGTGCCAAAATTGGCTTCATTATGGATTCTCAGGTCTTATTAGTCCCAATATTATGAAAGGCTCAATGTAGTTGGCTTTGAGATATATGAATAAGTTTCAACTTAAGAAAATATTCTAATGGCAACAGTTTTCTTACGTTATTGTGAAGCATCTTTTTTTTAGTACTAGATGGTATTGTGAAGCATCTTTATGATTGAAATCTTTAGTCACAGGAGCAATGCTCAGTGGTAACTTTTGATCTACAATATGAGTTGATCTATCATGAGATAAATTGTTACTGATTATTTAATTACTGATACAAGTTTTCACCAGCTTAAGGGAAAATGAAACTAAAGTTTTTTATAAATTGTCTAACTAAATAAAACCTATATATGAAAGTATTAGACTTTGTAACATTTATTGATTTATCATGAGACTATTAACAGGTGAGTAATCTAGAAAGAGTGCTTTATAATAAAACATAATGTTAACATCAAGTAGTTGTGGCACTTAAGATAATTTAATTATATTTTTGAATATGATTATCTGTAATATAGATCATTATTTTATATAACCCATCTTACAAATGTAGAAACAGTTTAATTATTATATAAAAATAGATTGGTATTGCTGCCAGTTTTATAGGAAAATCAAAACTTGACAATGTTAGGATTAATTCTAAAAAGTAAGTATACAATTTTCTTACATCATAAATGTAAATATTATTAATAATTTTACATAATGTACTGAATTTATTTTGAAATTAAAAGATTTATATATAGTAACTAGAAACAAAAAATTTAATATTTCAGCTTTAGACCTCTCATTCATATTATGCTGATAAATATGGTTTGAGCTCCAGCAATTATTTATCTGTATAAAATGTAAACCTCCAAGGAGTTAAAAAGTTTTACTGCTATTAAATAATTTTACATATAAGTTAAATGCCACCTAACTAGTTTTATAAATAGATTAGAAAGTATAATGACTTCTTTTAAGCACAACAGGACTCCTCTTAACCTCTACTTGAAATTTAGTCTAATCCCTAATCATTGACAGTAACTATCACATTTTATTAAGTGTTATTAATCTGAAGATAAATAAACTAATTAAATAACGTATATTCTGTGAGATAAAAATTCTGTTAGAAAACAAAAAAATATATACGTATATATAAATTGAAATAAGATTGGGTTTAGATACTAAGGCTGAGACTCAAATCCTGTTTTCCATGATGATTTTCTTGATGAAGCCAAAGCAAATTTGAGTGTCTGACTTTCTTTGCAGTTTATTCATGCTATAAAGCCTCCAAAGTAGTGCTGTTTAACCTACCTATGCATCACTTACTTGTCTGCTTAAACTTTTGCCTTCATGAACAAGTTGTTTGCCTAATACAATTATAAACTCACCTAATATCTTAAATTAAAGCACATGACATGCATCTTGGATGAAGACAACCTTACCTTATTAAACCTCCAATCCCATCTCTCTGACGCCTCTCTCCCCATCTTTTATGTACTAGCAAGGTATAAAACTCCACACTTTGAACAAAATTCTTCCCTGACCCCCAATCCTCATCTGGTATGACTGTTTAGGCTCAATCCCATGGCTTCACAACAAGAATTGTAATATGTTTTTGTTTAACACCCACTGTTGAATTTGGGCTGGGAAAAGGCTCACATGTGCTGTTAGCCTCAAATCCAACAATAGAATGGAGGGGCTTTTCTCACCAGTTATATGGAAATAAAGAAGATAAATAAATATTAAAGTGGTTTTTGGTTTATTGTTTTTATTATGTACCACGCGTGGGGGTAAGAAAAAGAGTATCTACTTAATAAATCAATAAATATTTAAATTGTCGAGGCTTGACATTTGTATGGCTTGGGAGTTTCCAAATTTGGCAATATGTGATTTTAGCCTATTGAAGCTCTAAAAACTCACTTCACATAAGCTGAATGATAAATGAGGGATTATTTTGGGACAAGACGTACCTATGGGGTAATGACTTAATATTCTAGCCAATCCCCTTTGCTAAAAATATTGCACCTTGAGGGACCCTGCCACGCCTATAAAAGGGGGTGGTCCCTGCATAGGTGCTTGAATGTGACTAGATTGGCTGAGGGCGAACCCTTTGATGGGTGCCCCAGAATAGGTTATGAGGTCAGAGGAATCTGATTTCCCGCCTTGGTGCTATTTTCACAATTTGTATCTATAAAAGTGTCGCCCCAATTTGAGGGGTTCTACTGAGAATTGACCAGGGTCTTTTGACTGAGGAAATCGTTGTTAGTATTAAAATTGCTCTCTTCAGTATTGCAGACTTATAAATGTCTGGCATTTCGCCTTTTCACCCAAGTTTTTCCCATAACATTCATTTTCTGAAGCCTCGGAGGCAAATGTCCAGCACTCATAAAAATAATCATGTGGACTTTCCTCCTTGGGTTTCCTCACTTTTCAATAATAAAGATGATAATATTGATAAGATATTGTGAATTTTGGGCATTTATTAGCTTTTTTCTGAGCTTTTAACCTTGGCCTCAGTGCCTTCAGCCACCATATATATGATTATATTTAATCTTCTTGATTGAATTTTTGGTCATATAGTGGAATATGTAGCTTATCTTTTTTGTACATTTATAAGTTCATATATGCCACATGATTATAGTGGCACTTGTAGCTCATTGAGTGCTTTTGGATTCTTTTACATGATTGACTGGTCATTTAATCTGGTAATAATTCAATCTTGTATTGATGTCTCTATATTTGGATCTCACTTTGTACTCATTATTAATTTGGTTTAAGGTTGTTAAGGCCATTGCTAGCTTTTAAAATTTATCAATTGTCATTATAACTATAAAGAAAACTTCGTCACCACCGGCATGTATTAAGGTTTCTTCATATTTTACACTTCAGTTAAACTGGTACTATTGTACGGGGTCTTTCCCAAATGCAAGGAATTGGTCCTAATTGTTGTGATTTTATCAACAGTTGGGTAAAATTATATAATAATTTTAGGCTCAACTAGTACTATAAGATTAATTGTATCTAAGTTAAATTTCTTATTAAAGCATAAACTAGTAGTGCCTATATGACCATATACAAATCATTAAATTAAGTTATAACCAAAGTAATACAATATATACTTATATCCATTGAGTTACTACTACATGAAAATTTATAAGGTATTGCAAGTAATACTACTTACATTTTTTCATATATAATGAACACTATTAGATATGATAAAACTTTTAATTCAGAAAAGATGTAAAATTATAACACATTTTAAACAATTTAGATTTTACAAAGTATCTAGAATCTATAACTTTAAAGTTATTGAGATGTACTAATATCTTATAGAAACTTTTAGTTTTATATATAAGGATTAGCCAATAAACAAAAAGCATGAAGCTAAAATTTACTGAGTCTATTAATTTGAAAGTTTGGATTTACATATAATATGAAAATAAGACATCTATAGCATAGTATCTTAATAAGCCTAAGGCGGGGGTCAAACCCGCAACTTTGAGAATAAGAGTCTCACGCTCTGCCAATTGAGCTAGCTAGGTTATTTATAATTTTTTACTTTTATTTATCTATTAAAATTTTAGTTATCTTGAATAAATAATTAATCAAAATTGCTGCCTGCTACTTTACTTTCTATTATAAAGTTCCATCTCATTTAAAACAGGATGCTCAAAGATATATATCTATGATGAATATAATACTCAAATGAAAGTAAATTTAGTTACTATATATACCTAGTACAGTACTTTTTACACAAATTATATACTTTCATTATACAAAACTTACAGTGAGATGCTCTTATATTTATAAAGATGCCTTTCAAAAATCTTATTAAAATTGTATATAATGGTCTTAATTATGTATCTTCTAAAATCTGGCTTCTCTTATTAAAACACTCTTTCTTTTATTACTAAAAAGTCAAATATTGTAAGTCTTGGAGACAAGCCCCTGCAACTGGATAGGGAGAAACACCCCTTCTGGACAAAAAGAGGTCACAAGGGTCAAGTGGACCCTCTGTCTCAGCTGAGTGACTTAGCCCACATGATAGATGATCGCTGGGTGACTGCCATCCCTCCAAGAATACCCCAAGCCCACCACTTCCCCCCTCTTCAACCCTGGTAAGTTTAATAGAGGAAGTCTGCAGAGAGATTGTGCACACCAGAGGCCATGGTCAGGCCCCTGGGACCCCCCACTCCCCAGGAAAACTATGCCAAAATTTTGAGGAAACAACATCTACCAAGATCAGAGCCCAACCTGCAAATTCTGGTCTGAGGAAGCTGGTCTGGACTGGCCAGCTCTGGAAATCAGATCAGGGTATGACTCAGATCCCAAACCAGGTACCAAACAACTCAGACCAGTTGCCCCAAAGCTTCATAATGGATCCAGGAAGTTTGGATCGTGTGAATAGTCCAATTGAGAGTTCAGTTTAAGTTGTGAACAACTCAATCCCATGACCCCTGCCTCCTGGGACAAATATGGAACATATGAATCATGCGGACAGTCCAACTTGGATGACCAGGACCTAGATCAATAGTATTGAATTGGTTTGGCCCCAGAAATTCAGGAAAATTTGCAAAGTTTTTTTTTGATTTTTGCCAAAATCTTGAGCATCACCCTACCCCCCTCCATGCCAGCCAACCAAATCCCATCGCCAAACCCTGAGCACCTAATCACATGATACCTTCCTATGCAATTTATCCAGTACTTAAGGCAACTGCCCTTCCCAGGGGCAGTTGTTGGTTCATTCTCTTATCTTCTGCACTTTATGCTTATTAAAATCCAAATTTCCCGTACACCTTGCTGCGGCCTCCGTCCACCTTACTCTTTACTAAAATTCCACCAATTGATCCAACAAAGCACGCCATCACCCAAGTTCTCATACCAATGTTCACCAACTGGATCGTCCAGTTGCTCAACCCTGCCATGCGGTGGCAGATCATAAACGTGATAATCTGCTTTTCCCCCATTGATGAACCTGCTGTTTCATTTGTTACCATGCATCCGCTTAATGAGTACCCTTCCATCTGTTCTACTGCCAAGATTTCCAAAACTGCTCACCAGTTGGAGCAGCACCTAAGCGGCCCTACCCCACAGCTTGCAGACTTGGGGCCCACAACCACCTCAGCCACCAATGGTTCAGCCTGCCTGTGGAACCTGAAGCACCGCATCCAGGGGAAGCTTGGTCCCAACCCCCTTTGTGGGTCACATTCCACCTCCATTCTCATGTCTAATCACGCGGCAGCCCCTGTGCTATCCCTCGCTGGCATGCAAGCTCCCTTCTTTAAAAACAAAGACCAGCAAATGGTAACCCTGTAGGAGTCATCGTCCTTCCTGCCTATCCTGCCCTTGGGAGTTGCACCCACAAGTCTCGCGGTTGCCCCCATTGCAACCATCTGGTGTGCCTGAGGCCTTCAGTACATTACTGGGCCTTTAATTTTCTCAAATCCTTGATAGAACTCCACTCTTACTAGTCGCTCAGACCACTATGCCTATGACATTCTGGGCTCTCCACTGGGTGCTTGCGCACCCCAAATGGGAGCCCAGTCTAGTTTTTATTAGCTGAATCCATGACAAATATAGTCTTTTTTTACCAATTGTAATTCTTACACATATGCTCCCAATCCTTTATATTTTTTTATAACAATTTCTATCTTTTAGCTTTGTATTTTTCTTTAATTCAATCCTAATTAACTCAACTTCTGACCAGTATACCAACCCCCAACCAGGAAGGGAATATTTATTGTTAGATAATGATACTGAATGTCCAAGTCATTATCAAAATTGATACTAATTCTTGAGGCACATGAACAAGAACCTAGCCAAGGAAATAAAACTAATAACTGGTAGATAATTGATTTCTGTTAAAACACATTAACGCGATTTTTATTTTAAAGATATTAAATTTTAGAAGGTCCACCTGATAGGCATGTTATGTCAGGGAAACCGGAGCTCAGGAGGTTGCTTAAGGAAAATTGCTTTGTAAAGGGTGCAAAAAAAGGCAAAATGATCCAGCAAAAGGAAGCAACGTCCCAGGCAATTTTGGTTATGTTCCATATAAGTTTAGTATATAAAATGAACACCAAACTGACAACAACCATAAGGGACATGAGTCCCTAAGAGCTAAGAAAAGTAGCTTAAGAACTGCATCAAAACATGGAGAAATAAGACATTGTAGAGTCAATGGAATAGGCTGCAGTTTGGTGGTGAGTTTGCACACAACTTGGGAGTTAGACCAGAGAGAGAAAAGGACTTCAGCCATCATGATGGTTCCAACCGAGGTATTTAATGAAAATAAACAGAAAAATATGGAAAACTTGTATAAATAATTCTAAACTTAATTCAAATCTAATTGTTTATCTTAGAAAAGCAAAGTCTTTCTCAGCTTGGCTTAAAATTCAAAGGGAAGATTCACAATGGTTTTAAAAAAGATTAATGAAGCCCAATCTGAGCTGTAATATTTTCATCTCTCAACAAAATTAAAATTTTTACAAATTTGACTAAATTTCATAACTTTGTAATGTCTGATTTTCTGGATTGAGGAGTCAATTTCTTTCAGATTTTCTGCCTCTGGCGAGCTGTTTACCTCAGTCCTTGATGGCAAATCCAGAACCCATTTATGGTCAATGACCTTGGAGAGGTCATCAGGTATTTTTAGGAGTTCTGTCCTTGACTCCAAGGGCTTATTTGACTTTGCTTTAGTGGGGCGTTCAACACCAGGAAATATGTCACTAATGATGACATCACTCTTCAATTTTGGATGGTGTTCTACGCCACCTGAGAGACATTGGCCAAAGCAAAGTTCTTGTGGGGTGTTGGGATTTTTGCCCATACTCCCAGCCTGATAGATTACCAGGAATCGCTTGAGGATAATTCCCTAAGGTGAAGTGAATTGAAAATCAGTTGGCCCGAGTTTCAGAGTAACTACTTTTGGGGGATAATGGATATTCGCCAGGTTGTATTCATTGGGGATTGATCCAGATGAATACTTAAGATCTCATCAGGTGGAGTTGCCAACTAAATAGGGGCATCTGATAGAGATTAACTATCAGGTGTATTGATTGGGATTGGTCATGTTTCATTACCAACTGTTTAAAGATGAATAGCAAGTTGCAAGGTGAGTGATGCTGCCTGCAACTAGTGAATCGATAAGTTGGTGCGTGACAGCCTTAATGGGTAATAAGTCCCTCTACCAAAGCAGGTTGCTAGCCTAATATGGTTGGTTCACTTGGATCGAGAGGAAAACATTAGGGACACGTTTTCTGACTCTTTCTGTTTAGGTCTCAAGGGTGTCCAATTATGTAATCTTAGCCAGAATGGTAAAGATCATTGCTGCTGAGACAAGGATGGGGATTTAATGGCAAAGGCTGCTGTTTCATTGAAGAGGTGTCAACTGAGGGTTAAATGACCAAATCCCCACTATAAATTCCCTAGAATTCACTCCTAATAAAAAACCCAGAGGTTAGAACAGAGTTATATTGTTCTATAGTCTTCATCTGGGATATAGTTTAAGTAGTAAACTATTATCAGCTTTCCATTGTGCTATTCTTCTCAAGGATATTATTGCTGTGTGCAACAATTGGAAGACTCTTAGTGAAAAGAGTAAAGAGCTGATTGGGGATCTAGAGAAGAAGAGAAAATCAGGAATTGCTGCCAACTGTGTGTTTGATCAAAGAGACTGTCACTAGGTAATAACAGCAAAGATTGGGTTGGTTAGAATGAGGGAACAAATCCCTAGATCATGACATCTCAAGTATTTTAATCGGGAATACTGGCCAAGCGTTGGGCTGAGATATAAGAATTCATACTCAACTACAGATAATAGTCATCATACTATTATCAACTAATAATCTAATCTAATATACTATACAACGCAAATGAAGTGCACAAGAAACTGAACCTGTGCAGTAAAAAGATTACTAGGGTTGTTTGCCAATAATAACCCCTCCAGTAAAATTTTACATGAGGGTAGGCAGCTTCATGGAAGCTAAGGAGGCTTTGGTGGGAGGACCTACAGCATCATGATAATCTAGCACAGAAGTCACAAATTAGGTCATGAGTGTTGGTTATGTCTCAATGGGATAACCATATGTTCTCAGTTTCATCATAACCTTTCCAGGACATTAGGTACTAAAGATGGCGTCAGGATAGGCGGGAAGAAAGAACATTGTTGATCTCATATTGGGGTTCACCATCTACTATGACAGGTTCATTATGAGGCAGCATGGAACTATTGAAGGGGTTCAGGAGGCACTCACGTAGGATGCTGAACACTTTGGTGGAAGGTGGTAAGTCAACCTGACAAGCTGATGGGACAACCTTCTTGATGACCTTGAAAGGTCCAACGCGCTTGGGGCCTAACTTGTGACAGGGTTGTTTCAGGTGAAGGTTCTTGGAGTTGTCCTTCACTAAGTCGCCTAGCTTGTACTCAGGGCCTTCACGTTGCTTGCAGTCAGCATATGCTTTGTAGATCCTCACAGCGTCAACAAGATGATCCTTCATTGTCTGATTTATGTCTCTGAACTTTTTAGTGCGCTCATTGGCA